ATATTTATTCACCCAAACCATATTTGGTATCAATGTTATACCTAACAAGAATGGTCAAACAAATGGCAACTTCAAATCTCAACAAATAAATGCTCTGTCTTACATATTGGCAAAAAAAAATAAATCAGAAAATAAAATGCAGGCTGAATAGTCAAGACCTTGTTGATGATCCAAACTCTGTCAAGGATCTTGGAGTACTCATCTTTAATGATCTAAGTGCTAGAGCCCACTGTAACTACATAACCAAAAAGGCATTAAGAGTTGTTAACCTAATCTTACGTAGCTTTTTCTCTGGTAATATTACACTACTAACTAGAGCATACAAAACATTTGCTAGACCAATACTCGAATACAGTTCATCAGTCTGGAACCCACATTACGTATCTGATATTAACACAGTTGAGAAAGTCCAGAAATATTTCACAAGAAGAGTTCTCCACTCCTCTACTCATTGCAGAATACCTTATACCCCCAGACTTGAAATTCTAGACCTAGAAAACCTAGAACTATGCCGCCTTCGGTCCGATCTAAGTATAGTATATAAAATCATACATTGCAATGTCCTACCTGTCAATGAATATTTCAGCTTCAACCATAACAATACAAGAGCAAACAATAGATACAAACTCAAGGTTAATCGCACCAAACTTGATTGCAGGAAATACGACTTCAGCAACAGAGTGGTCAATGTCTGGAATACTCTACCTGACTGTGGTTTCTTCCCCAAACCCCAAAAACTTTAACCTTTAGACTGTCTACTATTGACCTCACCCCTTTCCTAAGAGGTCTGTAGGGGGCGTGCATAAGCGCACCAATGTGCCTACCATCCCTCTCCTATTGTTTCTTTTATTTTTCTTATATGTATCCATGTATTCATAACTATGTTTTTACTTATACCTATTATCTTGTAAGCAATTAACAAACCAAATAAAATAAATTAATTAATTAGTTTCAGCTCTGCAATCTAGAGATGATGGCGGGGAGAGAGATTGCATGTAGCCTATGAGCAAATATTGTCCAATCATATTTCAACACACTTCAGTTTTCTAGTTCATAACATTACCGAGCAAGTCATAAATTAACACATAGATTTAGTTTGCACAGTGTAATAGACTAACATATGGTTGATTACTTAGTGTTTCCATGTTTCATAGCCACAGAGAGGAAGGATTCAAGCTATTTTCTAAAGCACCTGTAGGCCAGACAAGGAATAATTGATGGAAACTGAACAAGAAGAGATTTAACCTGGAAATAAGGATAAACTTTCTGACAGTGAGAACAATCAACCAACGGAACAGCTTGCCCTCGGAAGTTGTGGGAACGTCATTACTTGAGACTTTCAAGAAGAGATTGGACTGCCATTTGTCAGAAATTGTGTAGGGTCTCCTGCTTGGGCAGACTGTTGGACTAGATGTCCTACAAGGTCCCTTCCAACTCTGATTATCAGTTGTTTTTACTGTTTTCTACAAGCAGAGTCCCTGCCCAACCAAAGCAGCACCATTTATTCTTCATTTGAAGGTATTATTAGCGAAGTTGAGAAAGCCTTAACATTTGCAGAAGTACAGCACATTTTCAGGGAGAACAAATGTAAGTTGAGAGGAAAAAAGAGTGGGGGGGGGAGGCAATAAGAACATGAATTTACTGTTTTTTAAAATATCCTCCTTTGATTCTGGAAGAATTCACAAAATTGATCAAATGTACCAGAGTAAATAGATGGCATAGTATTGTAGTTCTGTTGCTAGGCAGGATTGGAGGCACATGGTCCTTTGGACAAGTCATTTCCTCTCTGTTCAGCCTACCTCTCAGGATTGTTGTAGGAAAAATAGGAGGCAGTACATAAAGCTAACAAAGAAAGAATCATTGTGAGTGTGTTCTGTATTCCACATTCTTCTGATCTTTCCCTTCCTTCATATTCTCTGACTCTGTTCTAACACCAATTCATACTTCTGTTTCAACCATATTTTGGCCCTCTCTAAAGCGTCTCTAGGCCTTTTAGAGCAATATTGCCTCATGGTCCTTTACAGGAAAGGGAATATTCCTTGCCTCATAATAACCAATCTGTTGTGAATGAATAAAAAGTAATAAACCTAAATGCAAAGCAGGTTTTGGAAGCCTGCACATTTGATTGGTCCTTAAACAATGAACAAGGATTGGTTCATAACAAGCCTCTGATTGGCCAAGCTTAGGACACTTCTTATTGGTTATTAGTTTGAACTTGATGCACTTAGTATTGGTTAATAGGGTAACAGCCAACCCTATAAAAGGGGCTACTGCTGCCCATAGCTCTTGCTCTGTTCTGTTCTATTTACTGTTTGCTCTGTTCTGTTCTATTTTCTGTTCTATCTATTTATTTATTAAAGAGTTGAAGTCACTGGTCAGATGTCTAGTCTCCATTATTCTCCAAACATAACACTGGCGACGAGGATGGGATCCGGAGACCGAAGAGCTGACTGAGTTACAGAGCAACCAACAGAGCACGTGGTCGAACACGCACCATCAACGGCAACATGACCAGCGGTGCCGTACCACCCGCTCCATTCGACCCAGAAACCGAAGACTGGGAGTCATACATGGATCGGTTCCAGATGTTTCTGGAGACCAACAATTTGAAAGACGCTACAACCAGCAAAAAAAGAGCTATATTCCTAACTCATTGCGGGCCTACCGTGTTTAAAATGGCAAAATCGCTTGCCAAGCCAGCCGAAGTAAAAGCGATGGACTGGGACGTCCTCGAGCCTTTGCTACGGGCTCACTACGCGCCCACCGTGCCAACCTTAGTCAGAAGACACGAATATTACCAGAGGGACCAACGGAAGGGCGAAAGCCTTGCCAATTACATCGTGGACCTCCGCAACCTTGGAGGCCTCTGCGGATTCTCCGACTTAGAAGAAGCCCTCCAGGACCGCCTGGTTCTGGGCCTAGAAGACGGCACGATCCAGAGCAAAATTATGGCTAAGGGGGAGATCAGTCTCACCGATGCCCTTAAAGAAGCCACTGCAGCGGAGGCGACCAAGAAGTCGGCAGCCCGAATGCGCCGCACCAACGCACCGTTACGTCAACTCGCCAAAGATACCTCGCCTCGCTCAGAGAGACACCCGGTATCGACTCACCACGAAGACCTAGAATCCCCATCAGAAAGCGATGAGGAAGAGGTAAACCGACTCCGAACAGAACGAGACCAGTTCACACAACCCTCATCCTGACCGTGTGCAGGATGTGGGGCGAATCACCCACGATCCAGCTGTAAATTCCTCGACGCACACTGCCGCATTTGCGGGAAAAGAGGTCACATCGCAAAGGTTTGCAGAAGCAAACAAAACTCCAAACCCCGACAAGCCGAATGCCAGTCTTCAGAATTCTTCGGCACACCCCGAAACAAACTGAATCACCAATGGGGAAGCCACTCCTACAGAAACAAACCGTCCACCACTTCCACCAGGCGTGAAGAAACCAGGCGGGTAGAGACCCACCAAACAATTACCATAGGCCACGCTACATCCCTTGATGCCGGGAAAATCCGAGTAGAGGTCGCAATCGAAAACAAACCTTGCATCATGGAGGTGGACTCAGGATCATCCCTCTCGATGGTGTCCTGGAAGACGCTTCAACAGCTCATCCCGACGATTCGCCGCCAAGACCTAAACCCTCAAAGGGTTATCCTCAAAGATTACCAGGGTAACCGAATTCCCGTTGTCGGGTCCCGCCGATTCCAGGTCTCTTTCAAGGACCGCACCGTCGCACTGCCACTGACTGTCGTGGACCGTGACCGGCCTAGTCTTTTAGGCCTTCAATGGTTCAGACCACTTGGAATCACTGTAGCGGGAGTCCACCGTGCCGAGAGCAACGATTGGGAGGAAGCCCTCGTGCAAGAATTCCAAGACGTTTTCGCGAACGGACTAGGCAAGTACAAGGGGACCCCAATCTCATTTAGCTTGAACCCCGAGGTAGCACCCATCCGCCTTAAGCCGCGGCGGGTGCCGTTCGCCCTGAAACCTAAAATCGATGAACAACTCGATAAATTGATAGAACAGGGCATGTTGGAACCCACCGACCACGCCCGATGGGAAACCCCAATAGTGACGCCTATCAAGCCGGATGGGTCACTGAGAATTTGCGGAGACTACCGGGCCACCCTAAACCACGCACTCCAGCAAAGTGCATATCCAGTGCCGGTAGTGCAACACCTGCTCCATTCCCTGGGTGGCGGGAAAGTTTTCGCTAAACTAGACCTAGCGCAGGCTTATCAACAATTGCCTGTAGATTCAGCCACCGCGGAGGTGCAAACTATCGTCACGCATAGGGGCGCATTTAAATGCAACCGGCTCCAGTTCGGGGTGAGCGTCGCCCCAGGAATCTTTCAGAGCTTAATGGAAAGGCTGTTACAAGGGATAAGAGGGGTCGTACCGTATTTCGACGATGTGCTCATCGCCGCCCCAAACAGGGACATTCTAGAAAAACGACTCCGCCTAGTTTTACAAAGGTTCCAAAACGCAGGCCTCAAAGTTAAAAAAAATAAATGCCAGCTATGTACCGAAAGGGTGGAGTTTTGGGGATACCTCCTGGACAGTCAAGGAATCCATCCCACTGAGGACAAACTAAAGGCAATTAAGAAGGCCCCCACTCCAAGGAACAAGGCAGATCTACAGGCATTCCTTGGACTTATCAATTTTTATAACGTCTTTTTACCCAATAAAGCAACCGTAGCTGAACCATTACATAGACTCTTAGACAAAAAAGCAACGTGGGTTTGGGGACAACGTGAACAAAACGCTTTCCAGCAAGTAAAGAAATTGCTAACTTCTGATTCTGTACTTATGCAGTACAACGAGACTCTGCCGTTAACTATTACTTGTGACGCCTCACCTTTTGGCGTTGGAGCAATCTTGGCCCACGTCTTACCGAACGGAGCAGAAGCTCCCGTCGCATTTTTTTCACGAACTTTAGCTAAAGCTGAAAGAAATTATAGTCAGCTGGATAAAGAAGCTTTAGCTATTGTGGCGGCAGTTAAAAGGTTTCATGAATATGTGTATGGGCGTGCGTTTACAATAATTACTGATCATAAACCACTACTGGGGATTATTGCGGGTAATAAACCAACCCCGTATATATTGTCCCCCAGAATGACCCGCTGGTCTGAAATCTTGGCGGCGTACAAGTACACCTTGCAACACCGCCTGGGGAAATCAATTCTCCATGCTGATGCATTGAGCAGAACACCGCTTCCAGAATCGGTTGAAGATCCAGCCCCAACCATCACAACGTTGCAAATTGAGACTCTACAAGCACCGCCATTGACGGCGAGAGACATTGCCCTCGAGACAAAACGAGATCCGGTCCTGCAACACATCTTACGCTGGGTTGAGCGTGGTTGGCCAACAGAACAGCTATCACCTGAATGGGCGCCCTTTAAAGCACACCAAACCGAGCTGTTTTCTCAAAAGGGTTGCATCTTGTGGGGCGATAGAGTCGTAATCCCGGGCAAACTGCAACGAACTGTTTTAGCGGTATTGCACGACGGACATCCGGGCATCGTGCGGATGAAAGCACTCGCACGAAGCTACGCTTGGTGGCCGGGAATCGACAAAAGAATCGAGGCCTGGGTCGCCACTTGTCAACGTTGCCAAGATGTCAGCAACGCCCCACCTAAAGCAAGCCCAACCGAATGGGAAACTCCTAGAGGACCTTGGTCCTGTATCCATATTGACTTTGCGGGGCCTACGAAAGGGCACACTTTCCTTATTACAGTCGATGCCTATTCAAATTGGCTCGAGATCCATCGAATGAGCACCACTACAACGGACTCAGTTATCAACAAATTAAACAGGTTATTTGCCACACATGGTTTTCCGGACGTCCTCGTCTCGGATAACGGCCCACAGTTCACAGCATTACCATTCGAACAATATCTTGCTGACCGGGGCATCCGCCATGCGTTAACCTCGCCCGCGCACCCTGCGGCGAACGGGCGTGCAGAACGCATGGTACAGTTCGTAAAAAAGACCCTCCACAAAATGGAATTCGGAAACATCGACGAGAAAATCAATCGAATTTTATTATTGCAGCACATCACGCCCCACAGCGTTACTAACAAAATGCCCGCCGAACTTCTTATGGGGCGGAAACTACGATCGCACCTCGACCGGCTCCACCCCGCATACGCACCCGAAAAGCCTTTCGGCTCCAGCAGCAAATGCCGGGAATTTAAGGTAGGCGATTTAATCTTTGCCAAAAACTTCTCCGGCAACCCTTTATGGATACCCACTACCGTTACCCACCTCACTGGGCCTAAATCTTACCGCCTGCTAACAGACGATGGCAGGGTGTGGAAACGCCACATAGACCAACTCCGTTCGAGATTACTACCCAGCGCCAATGGCTCCCCGGGTTCACCAACTGAGGGGGGAGGAAATATCGAGGAAATTGACTTCGATATAACGGATAGCAGGCCAACGGAAACCCTACGGCCCAGCGAAGTACCGGGGATTGAAACGGGGAGGGAGTTGACTTTTCCATGGGACTTGAACACGGGGGAAACCGAACTGCGAAACCCCGAAGAAACATTGATTGGCAGAGACAACAACAACGGAAGCAGCACGGAATCACCGTGCAGCGAAACGGAACTTAATAAAGATCATCCAAACGCTCCACCGGAACCGGACTTAAGAACAAACCCGGTGGAGCCACGGAAATCATCCAGACAGACCAAACGGCCTGTCTACCTTAAAGATTTTGTTACAGCTCCCCTCAAACGGAACCCAAGGGGGAGGGGTGTTGTGAATGAATAAAAAGTAATAAACCTAAATGCAAAGCAGGTTTTGGAAGCCTGCACATTTGATTGGTCC